CAGGAATGCTAATGCTTTTTGATGTTCAGAAATGCAAAGAATGTAACACCACAAGTCTGTCATCAAACACATTTTTACACAAGAATAATACACAGCGACAACACCTCCAACCCCCGTTTGGTCTGTGTCAACAAAGTAGTACAAAACAACCCTGGATTAGTAAATTGTAACCCTAGTTTAAACATAAGAACACATCATTTGCAATAAAAAAAAAGACCCAAAGGTTTTTAGGTGAGGTACAGTTTTTTTATTGTAAAATAATGACTTGTTGTCCAGACACAGTCTGTATGCTTGTTAGTTTGAAGTCAAGTCAACAAGGACGTTTCTCAACAATCCCTGAGAGTAGGAACAGCTATGGGGAGAATGTAAAACACAGCCTGTAATCAGTATCAGAGTCTAGGAAGAGAAGGACAAACACTGGTCTCATTTTACCCAGAAGGACTTTTCAGTTCTGTTTATTAAAAAATATGAAAATCCTAACAAAAGTGTTCTAAAGTTGAGAAACCTACAAACAATAACTACAGCTGGGGTTCTAACACACATTTTGATATTGTTACATTTCTCTCAAAACATTTTTTAACTTCCAATACATGCAGCTCTCGCATTACTTCTAATAAACGGCTCTTATACAACATGCTAATACAAACAAAAGTATCGTCTATATCGTATTTTTGAAACCCTACTTTCCCTTACGGGCCCCCGTAGATTCGAATCAACCTAAATTGGCAATAAAAATTAAAAAATTAAAAAGTCGGTGTCGTTATTATTATTAGAATAATATAATATATTATAATATAAAAATAATATTGTGTCGTATTATATAATATAATATAATTTCTGTTTTCATCTGTGACGACGTTTTACAACAATTTGACGAAACTGTGGAGGAAGGTAGTGTCATTAAGCCCCGCCCCCTACGTTCTTGCGTTCCAGTCTGTTCGGGTTTGAGGGGAAGTAGGAGGCGGGGGCTGAAGGAGGAGCAGAAGGAGGAGGTCACCCAAGCACCTCGCTCCATCACATCGCAGCTGACACTGGATTATACGGGGCTCCACCTGTCGAAGAGGACAGTGGCGGCAGTAAACGAGCTGACGCCGGACAGCACGAGACTTACACAGCGAAAGAGAGGAACTAACGCGATATTTAAAAATAATAATAATAATAACGAGCGCTTTCGCTTCGGCACCACCTGCTCTTATGTTCTCAATGCTGGTTTAATTTCACCCGAGGACAGAGGAGGAAGAGGAGGTGGTGGAGGAGGAGGAGGAGGCAGCGGCAGCAAACCATAACTAACTGCGGTGGATGGTTTTATCCGCAGTGGCTCAGCCGAGCAGCCAGCCGGGGAGCAGGATGTCCAGGCAGCAGCAGCCGCAGCAGCACCATCACCACCACTACCAACAGCAGCAGCAGTCGCAGCCGCAGAGCCGGACACCGTTAAAAGTCACCGACAACGTTGTGGAGGTCAAGAGCAAAGTGAGTGAGAGGAGAAACGAGAGGGGAGTCGAATAATTGTCGTGGCGTGACCCCGTGGTTGAAGCGTAAATGACGGGTACAGCAGGGTCGGTTCCACCAGGGGCTTTAAACAGCACTGACAGCTCTGGTTTATCCGAAACACAACACAAACGTGACACGTCTGTGTCTCTTTTTGACGCAAATACACACTAATACATACACGTGTGTTAGCTTTTTCGTAGAATTATTTTTTTTTAGAAACGGCAGCAGCGGCTGACGGGGGGGGGCCCTGTCACAGTGGAGGCTCTGAGGTGAGCTGGGAGCCAGAGCTGAGCCTCCACCTCCTCCTGCTGCTGCTGTTGGTCCGCATTCACTCCTTCACGTCTTCCTTCTCCATCTGTTAATATCTACTAACCCTCTTTTAGTTTCAGTGTTGACTTTCATCACTTAGTTCCCCCCTCTCGGCCCCCCTCAGTAGACTGTCCTACTCCAGGGCTCTGCAGTGCACGCTGCCTCTAACGACTAACTCATTAGTCGATTCATGGGGCAGATACTCGATTCTAGACTGTACAGACCTGGATGAGGAACGAGTAGAGACCTGTGGTAGGAGTCCACTGACCCTGCGTACAGTACAACTCAAACGGAAGTATTTGAATGAGTATTTGTTAGAATATTAAGGATAGTAAAAGCTGAAGAAAACATGACTGTGGAAAAAAAACAGAGAAATGAGCAGCTGTGTCTCTGATGCAGTTTGTTATTGTTACTCTGATCAGCTTGTACTCTTATACCTGGCCTATACTAAGTAGTGTATGATTTACCCAAGTTCCTTGGGTAATTTAAAATGTCATGAAGCATTTTTCCACTCATATATTGTAGTTTATAATTAGTGTTACATAGAGAAAACACTAGTTACATAGAGAAAGTAGGAGATGCATGGTGGGTTGCACGGTGCATGAGAGTTACATAGAGAAAGTAGGGGATGCATGGTGGGTTGCACGGTGCATGACTGGCACTCACAACCTGAGAGAGTTGTTTACAACATATTTGCTGATTGATTGATTGAGTGCGGAGTAAGTTTTCATATTAGATTTAAATGACTTTAAGTTACTTTGTCTGTGCTACAGTATGAACAGCAGCACAAACGCACCTTTGAAGTCAGCCTGCATGTGTTTACGGGTATGTTTGTTTTTTTCAGACTGACTGAGTGAATTTTCAAGCACAACCAGTCAGACTGTGCTCCTGGTCCTATTGTTGTGTGTTCACCTTTTCATCTGCTCAGTCATCGCATCAGTTTATGTACTTTACCTACACGTTTGAGTGACTCTGAACATTTTACAGACGTCGATGACGTTTCGATCCAGGAGATTTCGGCAGCTTGAGTTATCAGGATGTTTTGTCATTTGTGACTAACTGTTGAAAAATGCCAGGTATCTAGTGCATGACAGTTAATAACTGGACTGAGTCATAGGAACAGTTCATCAGTTTCCTTTGATTATGTTTCAGGATGCTAGTTTCACCTTACTCAACGTGTAAACAACACAACAGTTACCTGACCACAAACAAGCAAATTATAGATGCAATCAATTCAGTTCCATGTACTTTACACAAGAGTCTAGAATGGAATAGAACTCGTATTTCAACATATTCATGAGGAGGACATATTTGACATTTTTTTGATCCAGGAGTAATTGCTCATTAACTGAAACGCAACCCATTCAAACCTGATTTGTTTTTTGGGAGATTTGGTAAAAACAAGACAAGACAAAAGAGGATTAATTAAAAAAAAGTGCTGGAAAGAATTACGGCTTTACCTTCTTGAATTGTCTGTGCCCTGTTCACAGTGGGATGTTATCAAAATCCCAATTACAAAAAAAATGTGTTCTATTTAAGCATTCCCAATTAAAAGTACTTGCCAGCAGCCCTGTATGAACAATGAACTGAGGCAATCGCCCTGCTAATCTATTTACGCAATTACAAAAAAACACCAGCCTCCCCCTGTAATAAGCCATTTAACTTGAGCATTTCCCCGTGGCTTAATTATTCGTTTTCAAGTCCTCACCCAGAATAACACGTTCTCCAGCCCTGCACAATCAGGCACGGGTGAAACAATCGCAAACAAAGTCACAGTATGTTGGGGATCACCGGCAGCCTGGTTTCTGCTGCTGTTCATGGAAGTGAATGGACTCCGTAAGCCTCCCTTTGTGAAGCGTCAAAACAAAAATTCCACACTGTGTATTTGATTTAATGCACACAACCCTGCTGGATAACCAATGGTGGACGAGGCACTGATACAGGGCAGGAGTATGAACTGTGTAAATAGTGCACTATCACAGTAACAGAAGGATAAAGAGGGGCTACTGGCACGACGTCTGTTATGATGACAAATATTTCACAATAAAAGCCTGTTTCAAAAACACATTTCTAATTACATACAGTAATGACATGTTAATGGAAAACGCTGCTGGGCTTTTATGTACTAATGGTTTCCCACAGCAAGACATCTGTCTGTTCTGTACACTGTTTCTGTTCAACATAGCATCCCAGCTAGCTATTAGTGACATGCTAATAGCTATTTTTTGCATGGTCACATAAGCCAAAAAAGAGTGACTCCTAAGACTTGATCATTTGATAACCCCTCCATGAGAAGGTCCATATGTTATCTGCTGGGCTGGTGGAGGCTAACCTCTGCTGCTCTGAAACTTGAGAAGAGGAAGGAAATCTGGGAGGAAAAAAAGGGGGAGGAAAAAAAATATTTTCTTTGTAGAATTCTTTGAAAGAGGCTTTTGGAGGTTATTGAAACCATATATTTTTATTGTATTTTAATTTCACAGCCATCTGACCAGAGTTCTCTCATAGCAAATGTGCAGATTTCAGGACAATTGTTGGGGTTTGTTTTTATTACATCATTTAGATTTCTTTGCAGCTGAGGAAGTTTTCATTTAAAGCAGACAGCATTGTGTAAATGAGATTTTATTTACATTATACCTAAAGTTTGAGTTTTATTGAATCCATAATTGCAAAAGTAATACATCCAGACAAATTATATTATTCAAATTTTTTTTCATTATTTTGAGTTTTTCAAATGAATAAAATCTGTCCATGCTGGCATAGACTTCAAGGTCTGTAAAAAAAAACTGCAGTTTGTGTTGACATATTGACCCTTTAAAGTATTACTATATTTTCTGAAATGTTAATGTTTGTTCAAAGACGTTGAACACATGACGTTGATCTCTTTGATTTCTAAATAATGTTTTGCTTATCTCCCGCAGTTTGAGGCAGAGTACCGCCGTTTCGCTCTAAAGAGGAATGGCCCCGGCGGCTTTAAGGAGTTCTACCACCTCCTTCAGACCATCCATCACATCCCCGGTGTTGACGTAATCCTGGGATACGCCGACGTTCACGGGGACCTCCTTCCGATCAACAATGATGACAACTTCCACAAAGCTGTCTCCTCAGCTACTCCGCTGCTGCGCATCATCATATCCAAGAAAGGTAAGAGTAAAATAAACAACTTCCTGTTCACACTGCTTCCTTTAGGGACATTCATTTGGCGACGGTAGTACCCGATACTTCTTTGAGTTGATAAATATGCAATGAACTTGAAGGCAGTATGACACAGTGATGGGCCACATTTATTTTCATCTCATTAGCTGAAGGCTAACATTAGCAGAGCTAAAAGGAAACAAATCCTTCTGTATTGGAAAAAAAAAAGTTTTTTAAATTGAAAACAACAACAACTTTCTACATAGTTAACATAGTTGAACAGAAAGTGAGCAGAGCTTTGACACTAATAGTGCATTTTAATTGAAAAACAGTTTTTTGATTTCCACTAAACTAAGTGTCACATGAACCCATTTTCTAAAAGCGCCCGCTGTAATTGTAAAGGTTAGAGAAGGGTTTTAATCAATTCTGGGGGACAAAAACATATCGATCCGTCTGTTGTATGTTGCACCGCCGCACTGACGTGTCCCAGGACCCTCTTTTGGCCGTGCTTCAGCATTTTGCATAATACATGATGCAGTGATGCTCATCTGCCACTTAGCCGGGCCAGAAGTGTTGTTTTGAACCGACACCAGCTCCTGGATTAATCAGATTGGCTGTGCGGTCTGTGTTGAAGAGGGAGAGGAAGACGAGAGCTCGGAAAGAGCCGGATACTTCCGATGACGAGCGAGAGGAAATTGACATTTTGCTTTTATCGCAGT